TTTATTTATTTATTTATTTATTTATTTATTTATCTATCTATACATTTAAGGCTGATGGGGTGATTTCCAGTGGGTCATATTGGCATTATTGACATAAATATTTTTCTTTATCTGGTACTACAGCTTCATTCTCGAAGCTCTTCTGGGCCTCAAACGTTTGTCGACATTGCCACAAAATAGCATTCATGATCTTTATCCTTTTATTTCACCACCTTCGGCTACAAATGTGCGCCGTTTCGTGACGTTACAGATTCATTAACCTTCGATCCAGAGCGCCGACACGAACAGCAGCTCTCATAAATACTGTGAGAGTTCACTTTAAGGACACAGGACCCCGAGGAAAAATGACAGCTGTACACTTATCTGTGTCTTTACTGTGATAAGTAAAGGATTATATGTACACAGTATTTGCATTAAAGAAATTTAATGCAAATACTGGCTTCTCTGCCAAAAGCTCGCTCTCTGGAAGCCTGTGCGGGGACAGGACCCAGTATTAGTGCTGCGTGAGCGTGTAAAGACATTCAGTGCAGTCATAACATGTAACGTATGCAAACCAAACGTACAACCAGCTTTTGCCTCATGTTACTTTTTCTTACAGAAAATTTTCCACATTAAAACTGTGTATTGTGTTAGTGTAAGTAAATAAATTTAAGAGACTGTTTCTTTATAATATATTTAAATGACTAACACGTTTGTTGTTTTTAGTTCAGTTTATATAACCTCCTAAAAATGCTGAGGGATGTAAATTTGACTTAAAAGTAAACCGACCAAAATGAGCGTTTCTGAACCATTTTCTGAATTTTAGGTTAAAATATTTTTTTTATTTCTGCACAAAGACTGTAGATAAATGATGGACAGATGCAGGGGTTAGAGCGGTCAGTTGTGAAGGTTGTGTTTTCACTGTTGCCTTCTCAGCTCTGACTGAGAAACCAAAGACGCTGCAGGCTAACTCTGCAAACTCTGCACATGGGTACAGCTTAGCTCAGAACCTTCACATGTCTATCATTAACACACGCTCAGCAGATTTAATCATTTATCTTCACAGCCAACAGCACAAACAGGCCACACAGGTCACAGAGCCACGCCGGGCTGTTTCCCATCGACTTCTAAACAATCAGGTCTTTTTCAGGACAAAGAAGCTCCGCCCATCAGTGGGTTTGTGGACGTTTACAATCAAAAAACCTATATTGAGTTTTAAATTTAAAACCACACGGATAGAGTAACAGAACATATTTTAGACTTACATATAAATTAGCTTCTAATAATAATAAATCCTATTTTATCACACATGAGTGCTCTGCAGTGGGCTGTTTAGGTGTGTGGTTACCCTCCAAGTCCAATTGATTGAAGGCTAACGTGTTGTTAGCTTTAGTAATATAGCTCAATAGCTCAGTCATGTTGTGTTATTTCTATTTATGTTTTATCAAACCTCTTGAGACGGGGAAGCTGCAGGTTTGTGATCCGTGTATTAAAATAGCTGAACGGCACGATAAACACAGGCAGAGGTTTGTTGGGTTGTCCTTGTTATGTTGTACCTGTGACTGGATTAAGGATCTGATGAAGGACTTGCTGAATTATACTGGACAACATGACGACATGATCATCAGATAAATGACAACTTCATGCACCTTTTAAACATTGCATCAAAGCACGTGAAGCGGCACATCCTGTTTCCTTACAAAGATGGCAAATGGGGAAAAAAAACGCACAAAACAAGGCCATAAACAACCTCTTAAATCAGTGTTGCTTCCCCAGTTTGAGCTGCTGTGTCTGCAGACACACAACGGCTATTCTAGATCTAAGCACACACAACAGACATCAGAGTTTTAACAGCAGCCACAGATCTGTCCTCTCCAGTGTTGTGGTTTGAATTATTCTGATCTACACATGAACCACTTACAGTGCTCGACGCAAACAAAGCTGACGAGCATGTTCTCTCACTTGCAGCAGTCTCTGCTAAAGCTGCAACATGCAAATCCCAGCCTGCGAAG